CCTGCTGAATAAGGAACTGGAAGCTGAGAACCTAGCTGAGGGATGCCAAGGGGGAGTTTTGTGTAAAACATCCAACATTCAGAGATCTCAATGGCCCTGTTTTCTGTGGTGAGGCCCATCTACAGTATAGGAACAAGGAGTAAGGGATAGGTTTAAGAGAGAAAAATGAGCTCACCTGAACTCCCAATAGTAGAGGCCCAGCAGCCATTGCCTTCTCCTTCCTTCCTGTGGTGTCCTTCCCAGGGGGTGGGCAGGATCAGAGGAGGCAGCTGAGGGAAGGAAAAGATGTGAGAAACAAGACTCCAGCAACAACAAAAATATTGAGAAAGGGAATACTGCCTGCCATATCAGTAAACAAAGGATGTCACAGTCATCAGCGATTGCAGCCACCACCAGTGAGCTGGTGAGCCCTGAGGGAACTTAGAAAGGAAGAGAATACCTGTCATCTAGCAGCCATCAGACTGCAGCCACTCCCCACAGTGAGCCCTGAGGAAACTCAGGATGTGAAAACACAGGATACTGGCCCCAGATAGCTGAGGTACATATCAAAGGAATGATTTCAGTGAACCCAGACTCTTACATCTGAAAAGTGCTAAATTCCTCAACTTGAGATATCTGGTTTCCTTTAATTAACCATAATCTTCTGACGTTCAGACTACCTGCCCTTTGTTGCAAAACTCCTATATATCCTGCCCCACCCCCCGCCCCCGCCCACCCCTCGCCTCCTTGGGGCAGTTCTCTCAGGGTTACTTGAGATGCTGCCTCCTGGGCTTGAAGTCCTAAAAAATTCCTACCGAATAAAACATAACTCTCAACTTTTAGGTTGTGAATATCTTTTCTCATCGACAATATAATACCTACAGATAAGCCAAATAAGAATTGTATAGTATTAATGTAGAGAAAACTATACTTTTTATTTATTAAGTTTATTTAGATATATAAAGTAAGCTGAACAGAGAGAGACATACCATACTCCTGGATAGGATGTCACAGTATCCTAAGTTGTCACTTCTTTGAAATTAATTTATAAACTTAACATATTCCCAACCAAGTTACAGCTAAATAATAATCGTGTAAAGTTAACTATGGAAAAGATGATTTTTTTAAAAAGGTAATTGTGTTGTATAACAATGGATGTGAGAACTTGCGCTCCAGATATTATAAAGCTGTGATAATTAGAACATAGTGTTACTGTATAGTGTCACTCATTCACCAGATATATTGTTGACCACCTACTGTGTACCAGGCACCATTCTTAGGGCAAGGGATGAATACAGCTGTAAACAAAATAGATAAACTCTCTACCCTCGCGGATGTTATAGTCTACCAGGGAAAAGGGTGAATAGAACAAATTAAAATCCTACCAACACAATCAGTTCAGAAAAAAAATTTATATATAAGAATTCAGGATATGAAAAAAGTGACATTTCACATCAATGAAGAAAGGATGAATGATTCAGTAACTTGGAACAAGGACTTACCATTTGGAAAAGAATAAAAATTTACATATAAAGTGAAACTAAAGTACTACAAGGAAATGAAGATGAACATTTTGTGACATATGGAATAGAAGACCCCCTAACAATGATGTCAAAGACCCAAACATGAAGGGAAGGTTTGCACATCTGAACATATGAAAATGTAACATTTCTGCATAGAAATTGGAAATATACTTGTGTATCAGACACAATTTAAAAACACAATGCAAACTGCATAAAAATATTCACTAGTTTTCAATAAGCAAATCTAAACAACCCTATGGTTTGCACCTCTCAGAAAGTTAGAGAATAGTAACACTCAGACTTGCTGTGGGTCAATCAGGCACCCTTACCTTGCAATGTTTATAAACTACTACTTTTCTAGAGAGAATAGGACAGGAGGTATCAAAAGCCTTACAGTATGATCTAGAAATTTCACTTGAAGAGATTTATAGAATGAGACAAGAATGCAAAGATATATGCAGCCAGATGGCCTATATTGTTTATAATACTAAACAAACAAAAAAACCCCACAACACTGAGAAAGAACACAAAGGCCTAAAGAGAGGATTAAATATGGCACAGACATACTTTTCCTCATATTCATTAACAAGCAGACTTAGCTGTTCTTAAAAATTGGTATAAGTGGGTAGTTTCAAAACTTACAAAAGTTTATTCTGCATCTTAAGTGGTACTACACAGATTAAAATATTTATTAAAAAATCACGGAGCTTAAGACTTGTGCACTCATTTTTGAAGTAAATGGAGAAAAGAATACTAATATCCATATATTTGTTTAAAAACAAAGCGTTTCTGTGTTTATACGTATATACATGCAGACATGCAGATTCTGACAGTTTTCAAATGATTTTTTCCTTTTTGCTCCTCTGAATCTTCTAGTTGTCCTATAGTGAACTTTTTTTTTGGTAAGAGAAAAACTGCTTTAAATAAATAAATAAAGGAAGAAAAGAAAGAAAAGGATTCCCTGAAGTAGAAATCTGCACAGGGTTGGCCTCCCCATTCTTACAGAGAGATGAGTTAAGGGGAGCCCACGCCATCACCCTTAAGAATCGGAAATCACTGAGAGCGGTCCCCGAGATGCGGTTTACACAAAGGGCAGGTGCTGGAGCCCGGAGACACGCACCCTGGTCCAGCATCCCCCGAGACTTCCGAGGTGGGTCCGGGGGAAAGCCCGCGACGGGGAGGAACCCAGGGTCCGAACGACTTCCAGAGCCTTAGGTCCCTCACTTGCCCCTGGGACCCGGGGCCGCCGCGTCGGGTCCCCTGCCCTCGCCATTCGGGGGACAGGTGGTGGAAGAACCGCGTCCGGCGCCTCAGCTCTCGGTGTTCCCAACCCAGCTGGGCCCCCGGGGCGAGAGGAGGAACATGTGGAGGTAGAAGCCCGGCGCTGCACAGGGTCCGAGAGGTCGCGGCCCATCTGCAGCCCGCCCCGCCCCGCCCCGCCCCGCCCCGCCCCGCCCCTAAGGGGCCTCGCCCTGCTGTACTCGACTCCTCCCGCCAGGCCCTCCGGCGCCCTCCAGACCCGCTGCCTCCCGCCGCGGCCCCGCACTCACCCTCTCCCAGCAGGAGCCAGAGCAACCAGCGGACCAATGCCGCCCCTCCCAGCATCTCCACCCCGGGGAGCCGGACTACATTTCCCACAAAGCTGCGGGGGCGCGGCGCGGGCGTCAGGAGTGCGCAGGCGCGGGCCTCGGGTGGTGGGGGGAAGGGCGGTTCCAGCGGGACGGAAGGTGGTGGCTTCCCGAATGGCTACCTCATTTTGGTGGGGTTGTGGCTTGCCAAGCCAGGAGTTGACTGCGCGGTAACCTTACCCCGGCAACCCTAAAGAAGCCTCTCATTAGAACCTGTGGGTTTCTACCCCATAGGTAGGTAAGAAGGGGCAGACAGCCTTGGCTAAGCCTCACTTCCCTCCTCTGAAATAAAAGGGAGCCTGGAGGAGTCCCTTGCAAAGTTGTCAGAAGACTGAGTAGATGTGGTAGGTAACATACCAGATGCAGAGTGAGCACTCCATGAATGGTGGCTACTGTACTTCCTTTCCTAGCTCAGTGTCAGGTGCTGCCGTATTTGCTTCAGAATTATCACTGTATAGAATGCAGACAAGGGTTTCGCTGGTGGCGCAGTGGTTAAGAATCCACCTGCCAATGCAGGGCACACAGGTTCGAGCCCTGGTCCGGGAAGATCCCACATGCGGCAGAGAAACTAAGCCCGTGTGCCACAACTACTGAGCCTGCGTGCTGCAACTACTGAAGCCCATGCGTCTGGAGCCTGTGCTCTGCAGCAACAGAAGCCACTGCAATGAGAAGCCTGAGCACCACAACAAAGAGTAGCCCCCTGATCACCGCAAACTAGAGAAAGCCAGCGCGCAGCAAAGAAGACCCAACGAAGCCAAAAATAATTAATTTAAAAAAAAAAAGGAATGCAGACAAAATCTCTAATTAAATGTGTGGCCAGAGCTGTCAGCTACAGCTGGGTCTGCCACTGGAATTTGGAGAAGTACATGACATTTGGGGCAGATCTATATGGTAACTTAGATTGTAATATTTGTTTTTCTAAAAATAACCAGTAGCTTCATCTGCCTCTTTCTGTTGATGTGACAAAGACTCCACCTTTGACCAAACTTTAGGAAGGTTCCTATGAGACTTCTTTTCTACTAGGTCTCCTCCTTGAGCCCTGTCCTTGGCTTGTGGAGCCCAGTTTTAGCAAGAATACTGCTAAGTCAGTTTAGGTAGAATCCCACATTATTAATATCTGATCCAATTCCTCATCCCCTACTCTTGATGTCTAAGTCCTTGGCCAGCCTTTGGCAAGGATCCCCCCAAATTTCCTGTCTCCTTTTTAGTAATTTTCTATCCACTGACCCCCTTTACCCTGCTTGTTGGAGCTGTAAATCCCCAGCTGTCTTTGCTCTACTGGGAGTTGAGTTCAGTTTTACTGAAGCCCCGATTGCAATAGTACTGAATAAAATATGTCTTTACTGTGTTAAACTAGTGTCCAACTCTGTTTCTTTTTGAGAGATGTTTGAGCTATTTCAAAATACTGAAAAACATGAAAATCTTCACAGTTCATTTAATCAAGTGAAGGTAACCCAGATAGCAACAAAGTAAAAATCTACCACTGTATTTTTCGATTCAAATACCTTGAATCAGACAGTTGTTCCAGGACTACAAGGTCATTTGTACATCAGAAACTGCATGAACATATTCATCATGGTTTGGTGGAGAAATGGCCCTTGATAAAACTCACAACATAAGAGTGTGCAATTTCCCAGCAAGTAGGCAGAGAATGTAGAATAGGGGGAGGGAGAAGGACCAAAAGAAACCAACTCCCCACCCCACAATGCAACAACCCACAAACATAAAAATTCAGGTAAATAAAAAATATGTAAGAAGATGATAGCAAGAATGCCAAGTCTATTAGTACTCACTACACATGCACATGAACCGAACTTTCCAATTGAAAGAAAAATACTGGCAGACTACATTTTTATAAATCTAAGCTATATGCTAAAACATAAGGATACACAAACCTTGAAAGTGGAAAACTGGCAAAAGATATACCTGGCCAATATTAACCCCAGAAAGTTAATGTAGCTACTAACACACACACACACACACACACACACACACACACACACATTAAAGCAAAAAATATTGCTAGGCTTCCCTGGTGGCACAGTGGTTGGGGGTCCGCCTGCCGGTGCAGGGGGCGTGGGTTCGTGCCCCAGTCCAGGAGGATCCCACGTGCCGCGGAGCGGCTGGGCCCGTGGGCCATGGCCGCTGGGCCTGCGTGTCCGGAGCCTGTGCTCCGCAGCGGGAGAGGCCGCAGCGGTGAGGGGCCGCTAGAGGTGGAAAAGGTAATTACATAACAATAAAAGAGTTAATTCACCAAGAAAATAAAATATTCATAAACTTTTATGTATTTAATAATGGAGTTTCAAAATATATAAAGCAAAAATTGACAGAACAAAGAGAACTGACAAATCTACTGAGTTATTTTTAGACTATCTTTCTCAGAAATTGATAGAAAATCTCACCCAAAAAATCACTAAAGATATAGAATATCTGAAGAGCAAAATTAACAAGTTTTACTTAATGGACAAACACATAGAATATTGCATCCCCAAATTAATGAAAATAATTTTTAATCGTATGGTTATAAAAAATGACCTTATGGTAGGTTATAAAAGTAGTCTCAACACATTTCAAAGAACTGGTATCATAAGTACCACATTCTTTGACAACAATGCAATTAGACATTTTAAAAAATACCAGAAAATTTTTTCAAAATTTAGGTAAAGGGAATATTTAGAGATTAGGCTGGTCACACTCTAATCAGGCTCCTCTGAGCTCTTTTTCAACTAGGTCTCAAGAGTTGGGTTCTCATTTTTGTTTCTGCATTGTCAAATTTTAGCAAGAATACTACTAAATCAGTTTAGCCAGAATACCCCATCCTCCATATCTTAACACTCTTGATATCTGGTAATTCCTTCTCCACCATGCCTCAGGTAATGTCTGTTTTCAGCAAGTATTCCATTAGTTTGGTCCCCCCTCACCCCTGATGTTTCCTCTTAGTAATTATCTACTCTCTGACCACCCCCACCTGGCTCATTGGCTATAAATTCCTACTTGCTTATGCTGTATTTGGAATTGATCCCAGTCCCTCTTCCCAACTGCAAGATTCCATTGCAGTGGTCCCTATACCCAGTCACAATGGCCCCCCTTGAATAAACTCTGCCTTACTGTTCTTTGACAAATATCATGAACAATTTTTTTTAATAGGTAGGATAATACTTTTTTCTCTAACAATACATCAAATTTTGTTCCCTTCCAAAACCTAGTAAAGCCAAAATTAAGGTATTATTTGAAAAGATATCTCACAAGTTCAGGGAAAATCAGGCAAGGACACACCAGCAACATTTTGGACCTGAAAAGTAGACGGATGTCATTTTCTTGGCAAACCTGAAAAATGCCAAATCCCCACACAGCTATAAAAAAAGCTGAAAGCCAGTTTGACTTTATATCTCAGAAACCTCAAAAGTACAGGAGTAGGGGCTTCCCTGGTGGCGCAGTGGTTGAGAGTCCGCCTGCCGATGCAGGGGGCACGGGTTCGTGCCCC